CCCCAAAACCCCAAAACCCCAAAACCCCAAAACCCCATTAATAAAGTATTCTAACAATTTGGGGTATTCATATGATTTAAAATATATCTATTTCTTTAACAAAACTTCAGGCAAAGCCTTTATTTAAAATAACCGAGGGTGGTATCTTCTTACCAGTTTTAGTATGTATATTATGGATTCCGATGCCATTTTAATAGTTGTAGAGAATTCTTTCTTCAATGTTTTGAAACTCTCCTTTTCTTTTAGTTGACTATATAAGTTTCTTGATAAGAGGCTAAAGTTAATAATCCTCTTCACTGTGATTTATGTCTTCTTTGTTAATAGAAATAAAGTTGCTGTCATAGTAGTCTTCATCTTTTTCTATAATCACTTGATCATGATCTATCTCTGTTGGGAACATCAAATCCTCTTTAGCTTCTCGGATCATTTATGTCTATAGTTTAGTTAAGTGTATATTGCTGCTTACAGGCATCTTCTAAATACTTCTATCGATTGTGGTTGTCTTATCGATGCTTAAACTTCTATCAAGTCTATCAAATATTTGATCTTATTTATTTTTTTCCACTACTCTTCGCTCTAAGAATCTCTTAGAGATATCAATGTCTTTCATGAAATCCTTTTTCTTTGCTTTGATTTCTTTCTTCTCAAGATCTAAAAGCTATACTATTGCTGAATTTTGTAGTCCAAAATCTTTGAATTTCACAGGATGACCCGTTCTTAATGAAACATCAATTTCTTGAATCACCTATAATAGGTAATTTTATATTAACTTTAGTACCTCCTTAACTGATAAATCTAGAAGTGATTTCTCCTAATTTGAATTTGCCATATTTCTCTTGATATAAATACTATACCTCTAAGCTCCATTTGGAGATGTCTTCATATTTCTCTAATTGCTTGGTGAAAGACCCCCATCTGCACTATTCATTTGAAAAACAGATTAATTGACAAGCATCCTAGGTCTCTTGAAGTTACGAGGTCTCATTGTTAGTTATATCACATCCTTGTTTAGTTTTTTATTATTCTGAAACTCAGCAGTTTTGAAAATAGCATTATTCCTATTGCTAAGAGGAGAAATTTAGGTCTCAACTTGAGTTTAATTTATAAATGTGTTATTTTGATAGTCATCCTTGCTAGATTGAGTCTGTTGATTATAAATCGATGGTAATTTCAGGGAGTGTCTGAGTTCGTAGTTTTTAAGCTTTTACTGGGCTTTGATGATTATTCGTTTATCTAGCTCTCTCTATTAAGTTAAAGTTATTTGATTTTTTTACCTATAAGTACAACTCTTTACTTATCCTAGCCTACTCTTCTCTTTCCTTGATCATCTTCTTTTACCTTTCATTTTTTTCTATTAATTCTTAAAAAAATCTATGAATCTATTGTTAAAATGGCAATTAACTTTACTTTTCTTGTTTCTTGCCATCATCTACGAATGATGAATTCTAATTGTTGAAAGATATATCACTCTAATTTTAGCGTAACTAATTCCTCTATCGATCCTTTTTACTTTCATTTACGTAGCGTTAGTTCATTTGTCGTACATAGTCCTTCTTGAACTTATCAATGCTTGGAAAGTCTGTCTCCTATAGTAAAAATGCTCTAGTTAAAATTTGGATATAAAGATAACCTACCATGTCTTTAACAAAGCTTCTGAAATTATTAGACATTTTTAGAATTAAAATATCCCACTTCTTTCAAACAGATTATTTTTATTTTAATGAAGAGGATCATTTTAATTTTTTATTTCTTCTTTTTACTTAAGTAAATAAGTAATGGAGGGGTTTTGGGGTTTTGGGGTTTTGGGGTTTTGGGG